GAGGAGGACGCGGACGAGAGCTGGTGTCGGGTAGATGGGAGCCAGAAGTCCGAGAAAGGAGCGACAAGAAAGAACAAGCACCGCGAGCCTCATGCACGCACACAGTCAGGAACGGCGCTCTCGCTTAAAACAAGCTCGAAATCCAGTCTTCACCATCTTCCTCTTCTCACAGTCCCCACATGTCATACTCATCCTCATCCGAATCGTTGCCACCGTTCTCGTCCTCACCACGACTTAGTCCATCCCTGAAACTTCTACAACTTGGGTTGGACAACGAATCGAATATCCTGATACACCGACGAGGGCGCGGACGACAGCTGCAGTCGGGAAGATGGGAGCCAACATCGCACCCTCAGCTCCGCGACGGCTCCCCGCCGCGCTCTTCAATCACGCCGGGAGGTAACGAGACGCCCGCCTATACAATGCTTCCCCCCTGTGCCAACCCTCCTGTCCCATTCCCAGCCCGCTCGACTCTCCCCCGACGAGGGGTGAGGAGGGAAGAGGGATGACGGCAAGAGGGAAGAGGGAGAGGAAGAGGAAGAGGGAGAGGAGGGATGAGGAGGGATCAGGAGGGAAGAGGCAGAGGAGGGAAGGAAGGGTGAGGAGAGATGGGGAGGAGGGAAGGAAGGAGAGGAGGGATGAGGAGGAGGGGTGAGGAGGGAAGAGGGAGAGGAGGGATGAGGAGGGAGGGAAGGGGGAGTGAGAGGATGGGAAGAGGAGGAAGCAAGAGAAACGAGGGTCAGGAGGGAGGGAGCGTGATCACTGCTCAGACTGGAGCCGAAGAGGTGGAAGGGGATCAAGGTACCCTGCTCGGAGTGGCCTACCGCGCCCAAGATGCGCCCCAGATGCCCAAGTGCCCCTCCTCGACCTCCTCATCCTCCTCGACCTCCTCCACCATTGCACAATGTGAATACTACTCTCCTCTCTCCCCTGACGACGTCCGGGAAATATCCGGCCCCCCTCCGCGTGCTGTTTTTTACTTACACACCAGATTCCCGGGAAAAGGGTTTTGGCTTAGGTGTTTTCAAAATGTTGCTCCCCCTGAAGCGCTGGCCTCATTTTCGGGCTTCCGCTCGTTCCGAATCGTGCCTCCCGAAAAAAATCAGAAGTGATTACACATTCGGTGTCGATTCGTTGATTTCTGGGGCCGCAGAAGCCCCCCAACTCTGGGGCGTCGCCACGACATGCTATGTCATGCTGCGCGTTGATCTTCAACACCATGCTATGCCATGTAAAGCTACGCCATGCTACCACCTCCGATTGTGCGAATAGAGATGAGGTCTAAGCCATGGCAAGGGATGGGAGGGAGGGATAGGACGTCAGATGGGACGCGAGCGCACCTATTTTGTCCTCCTACCCCTCCCTCCTCCTCCCCCTCCTCGTCCTCCTCATTCCTCCTCCCCTCCTCCTCCCTCCTCCTCCTCCTCCTCCTCCTCCATCCTCCTCCTCCTCCTCCTCCGCCTCCTCCTCCTCTCCTCCTCCTCCTCCGCCTCCTCCTCTTCCTCCTCCTTCTCCTCCTCCTCCTCCGCCTCCTCCTCCTCCTACCTCCTCCCCCCGGACGCCACCAAAGCCGCCAAGATGGCCGAAGATGCACCCGAGACAGCTGGAGAGGCCCCAAGGAAGCCCCAGGAGCGCTCCGAGGGGTCCACAGAGAGGGCCCACAGAGACAAACTTCGGAGACTCTGACTCTGCCTTTCACTGCTTCTCACGCTATCGCCTTTTCGAACATCCGAGACTACAAGACGGCCCCAGGGGCCCCCAAGACCGCCCCGGGACGACCCGAGGGGCCCCCGAGGCAGTCTCGAGGCATCTCGAGACGGCCCCGAAGCGGCCCGAGCGCAGCTCCGCGCTGCGGCCCCTTGCGCAGTGCGGCCCCGGACGAGCAGAGGTGGACGGAGCTCCGCGGGGATGCGCCTACCTACGTGTGTACTCCAGATTTCGTAATAAAGGGAGGGGGGTCTCATTCTGGGGGGGGTCTCTTCCAGGCTGTCTTGGAGGGCCTGGGGGGGTCTGGGGACGGTGTTTTGGAGGGTTCTCCCACGGGGGGGGTCTGAAATGGCTTGTCTTGGAGGGTCCAGACCCCCTCCCTTTTATTACGAAATCTGGTGTGTGCGCCACGCCGGTCCTGGGCAGGCTGTGCCGCCCAGCGGCAGGGGGCGAGGGCGGGAGAAGCGGGCAGACGACGACGAAGGCCCAGGCGGGAGGCCAGGGCGGGCGCCCAGGAGGCGCCCAAGAGAGCCCCAAAACGACCCCAAGACGGGCCCCAGAGGGGGGGGGAACACGAACCGACGATCCGAGCCCGGCGCCCGAGAAGGCTCCCAGGAAGCCCACAAGGTCTCCAACGCACGCAGTCTGGGCCGGCGGAATGGGCGGAGCGACTCCATATACCCGCCCCCCATCCACGTCACGTTGCAGATGCCAGGTCCCTCCTCCTGCTCCTCCTCATCATCAGTTTCATCCTCTTCCTCCTCCTCCTGCGCCTCCTCCACAGCTACTCAACAGGAGTAATACTCTCCTCTCTCCCGTGGTGACGTCCGGGAAATGTCCGGCCCCCCTCCGCGTACTGGTTTTTTACACACCAGATTCCCGGGGAAGTTGGGTTTTCGCTTGAGTTTTTTTCGAAATACTGCTCTCGCTGAAGCGCTGGCCTCATTTTCGGGCTACCGTTCGTTCCGAATCGTGCTCCCGCTGCAGCGCTGGCATCATTGCCACGCTTCCACTCGTTCTGAATATGTTCCCGCTGCAGCCCTGGCGATATTATTTCCAGTGCCACGCCACGGTATGGTTTTTCACAAAATCTAGAAAACTGTCCTCCGAAAAACCATCGGAAGTGATTACACGTTCGGTGTCGATTCGTTGATTTCTGGGGCCGCAGAAGCCCCCCCCGCCACGCCATGCTATGTCAGGCTTCGCGTCGTCCGAATCGCGTTCCCGCTGCAGCGCTGGCCTCATTTCCGCGCTTCCGCTCGTTCCGAATCGTGCTCCCGCTGCAGCGCTGACGTCATTACTTCCAGCGCCACGCCACGGCATGGCTTCTTCCAAATAGGCTCACAAAACTTAAAAAAAATCCCCCGAACAAACCATCGGAAATGATTACACATGCAGAGTATATTCGTTGTTTTTTGGGGCCGTAGAAACCCTCCCCCCCGACCATTTCCGTACCATTCCCTGACATCCGTCCTCGACCGCCGCAGCTTCCCCCGCCACCGACGCCTCGTCTGCGTCGTTGTCGCCGTCGGCATTTTCTGTGCGTTCCCTGGAGCGTCCAAGAAGTCTTTCTTCGGGCCATCCGCCAGGCCTCGTGCAGAGCTGTCTGGGGAGCCCGGAGAAACTTGGAAGGGGGCTCGGGGAACGCAAGGCAGCGTGTCGAAAGGAAGGGGGGGGCCTTACGCTACTACAGTACCCCTACCAAACGGCACTTGGCATTCGAAAGCGCCCACATCGGGCAGGCGCGGTTGCGCAGGGCATGGAGCCGGGATTCCGGACAGGCCTTCTCCTTTCGAACACGGGCAAGTTAACCTGCAAAGCATCCGGTGCCATGCCATGGCATGCAATGCGATGTTGCGTTGTGCTCCGTTGTGCGATGCCATGTTTTGCGATGTTACGCTTTGTGATGCAATGCTACAGTACGCAGTGCCAAGACATGCCATAACATGCTCTGCTCTGCCGCGCTCTTCTAAACCATGTTACACCGTGCTTTACCATGCATCGCAAACCCTCTCGGGATCACTGCCTTCCTCGACATAGGCCTGTGCGCATGACGAGAACATCTGCGATATGGTAAGGGTTGGGAGGGAAGGGTATGACGACAGATATGACGCGAGCGCACCTAACGTGTCCTCCCCCTCCTGCGCCTCCTCCTCTTCCTCATTCTCCTCCTCCTCCTCCTCGTCCTCCTCCTCCCCCTCATCGTCCTCCTATTCCTCCTCCTTCCCCTGCTCCAGTGTACTCCATCCTGCGCCTCCTTGTCCTTCCCGCCCGCCACGTCTTCGACCTCCTCCTCCTCCTCCTCCTCCTCCTCCTCCTCCTCCTCCTCCTCTTCCTCCTCCTCCTCCACCTCCTCCTCCACCTCCTCCTCCTCGTCCTCCTCGACCTCCTCCTCACCCTCCTCCTCCTCCGCCCTGCGCGCCCGAGGGGCCCGCCTGCGAGGAACAGCGACAGGGTGCCGAGCACGATCCCACACTGGCTCATGGCGTAGGGCAGCGAAAGCACCCCGCCGCCGACCATCGTCGCCACCTCCGACGCGATAGCCGTCGTCGCCATCGTCGTCGACGTCGTCGGCGGCGGCGCGGTCGGCGTCATGGTTGTCTTCGCGGTCGACGTGGTCGGCTTCACCGTCGTCGTGGTCAACGTAGTCAACGTAGTCGTGGTCGTCGTCGTCGTCGTCGTGGTCGTCGTCGTCGTCGAGTCGTCGTCTTCGTGGTCGTGGTCGTCGTCGTCGTCGTGGTCGCACTGTGATCGTCGTCGTCGTGGTCCTGGTCGTGGTCGTCGTTGTCGTGGTCGTGGTCGTCGTCGTCTTCGTCGCGGTCGTCGTGGTCGTCGTCGTCGTGGTCGTCGTCGTCGCCGTCTTCGTCGTGGTCGTCGTCCTGGTCGTCGTCCTGGTCGTCGTGGTCGTCGTGCGTCATCGTGGTCGTCGTCGTGGTCGTCGTCGTCGTGGTCGTCGTCGACGTCGTCGGCGGCGGCGGCGTCGTCGTCGCCCGTCGTCCGTCTTGTCGTGCGTCGTCCGTCGTCGTCGTCGTGGCCGCCGTCGCCGCCGCCGCCGTCGTCGTCGTCGTCGTCGCCCTCGTGGTCGTCGCCGTTGTGGTCGTCGCCGTGGTCGCCGCCGTGGTCGTCGTCGTCGTCGGTGGCCGTGATCGTCGTCGTGGCATCGTCGTCGTGGTCGTCGTTGCCGATTGACGGGCCCGGGGAAGCGAGAGGGGCCAGGAAGGCACGCGATCGGAAGGTTTTGGTGCCTAGCCCAGCTCCTGGATGAATGGGCGGGCGAGAAGGGTGGCGAGGAATATCAGGAATGTCAGCTGTACAACGATGTTTCTCCACAGCCTGCAGGGCCCCTCAGAAGACTGCACAGGGCCCCTCGGGTCCGAAAAATTGGTTCCAACGAGTGGACGGCGACGAATCCGACGAGCACCGCGAGGCCCCGCCGCCGCCGCCAGTCGTGAGAGGGATGGGGAGTAGGAGCAGGAGGACGTGGGAGTGAGGACGACAACAAAAGCGGCGGAAGCGCCAGATGACAGACGCGGAACGACGAACGACGCACGACAAGACGGACGAGGGGCGACGACGACGACGACGACGACGACGACGACGACGATGACGACGACGACGCACGACGACCGCGACCACGACCACGACGACAACGACCGACGATGACCACGATGATGACGACGACGACGCCCACGCCGACCACGCCGACGACGACCACGACGACCACGCCGACGATGACCACGATGATGACGACGACGACGACGGCGACGACGACGACAACGACGACGACGGCGACGGCGACGACGACGACGACGGCGGCAACTGGAGGTCTCTCCGTAGGACCCCCGGGGTCCTCCGAAGACCGCAAGGGCCACCCAAGAATTGACAAAACTGAACTGCGTTAGAAGGCGTGTGAGGCTGTCCCCGCCCAGATGTCCCACTCCCGTGGGGCCAAAAATCGCATTAGACGGGGGGGGCCAGGGAAGGGTGGGGAAGCGAGCTCGCCAACGCACCGTGGGGCTCTGGAGCCTCCCAAAAAAAAAACAGACGGCCCAATGAGCACCGAGACCATCCAGGAAAGCGTCGAGGCGGTCCAGGGTAACCACGCGGCGGTCCAAGATGGCGTCAAGACGGCCTACGAAGCCCCCGAAAAGGCCCAAGAATGATCCCTCAGGGCCGCCGAAAGTGCCCCAAGAGGCAAAAATCGCCCCGTTCCCATGGGAAAATATACGTGTTCGACACACACACAGAGTTTGAAGTCTGCGGCGCCGAGGAACCTCGGGCCCCGTCAGCAGGAGGAGGTGCCTATTGCGAACGAACTTAATCGAACGTAAAATGATGGAAGAGCCCAACCATGGCCATGCAGAAGGTGGTAAGATTGGAAACGGGAGGCGCTGGAATGCCAACATGCGGCGGCCAAAAAAAACGAAGCGCAGGCCCGACGTGGGCAATTTGACGGCCCAAGACGGCCCAGGAGGGCTCCAAGAGGGCCCACGAGGGGCATTGCGAACTGACATTTCAACTCTTTCCCGCCGCGATGGCCCCGAAAGCCCCCCAAAGGCTTCGAAGAGGCCCCCGGGAAGCCCCTGAGAGGCCCCTAAATCCAATTCGCCGGCCCAACGGGCCAGGGCGTGCTAAGATCTCCGGTAACTGGTTAACAGTATTAACAGTATTTCTAGTTCGCGCGCGCGGGGCGGCCCCTGGGGGTCCCCCGGCGAAAAGTACCCCGACCAACGCCCGGTCGCCGCCCGACCGCCGCCCGACCAAGTCTACTCAGAGATGGTTTTCCTTCTGGGTGCGGCCTCTCAGGCTCCCCAGAGCGCGCTCAGAGTGCCCCAAGAGGCCCCCAAGACTGCCCAAGAGGCCCCCGAGACGCCCAAAGAGCGCTCGAAGACGCCGAAGATGACCCCAAGACGGCCCAAAAGGCCCCCAAGACAGCCCAAGAGGCCTCCAAGACGCCCCAAGAGCCTTCCAAGAGGCCTCCGAAGAGAGCCCCAAGAGGCCAAAATCGTTGATTTTCATTGGTTTTTCGATGTTTTTTGTGTTCTGGCTTTTCGGCTTCCGGACGCTCCAAGACGGCCCAAGAGGCCCCCAAGACCGCTCCAAGACGGCCCACGAAGCTCCCAAGACGGCGCCGAAACGACCCAAGAGAGCCCTCAAGACGGCCCAAGTGCCGCCCAAGACGGACCAAGAGGCCCCAAGACGGGCCCAAGAGGGACTCAGGAGGGATACCGAGAACTCAAAAATGGAGCCCTCCGTCCCAGAAGGCGCCCAGGAGGTCCCAAAGAGGCCCCAAGAGGCCTCCAAGAGGCCCCAAGATGTCGCCAAGAGGCCCCAGGAGACTCCCAGGAGGCCCAAAAGAAGCCCCAGAAGGCTTCAAACATGTCTCCCAGGCGCCCCCGAACGGCCTCTCAACAGACCCCAAGAGGCCCCCCAAAGAAGCATCTTGACGACGACTCTATTTCGCCCATCGAGAGACGACCCCCAGGGAACTGCTTCACCATCAAAACTCCCCACGCAACGCGTCCGAACGACACCCGCCCCCAAGAGCGCAACATGGGCAACGAACACACAGACAAAAACCAGCGATGCCATATCACGGGCCGGCGGAATGAGCGAAGCGATTCAATAAGCCAATCAGATGCCCGCAGGAAGCCTTCAAATGGCCACTCAGAGGCAGTCCAGGAGACCCTGATGTCCATCCCCGAGGCTCCCGAACTCCAGACCCACAGGCCAGGCACGGTTGCACGACTCTTGACACGGTCACTGGTATGGGAGTCGGCAAAACGGCGTAAG